CTCAGATCACGGTGTAGCCACCCTCGCGATACGGCAGTCACAACCTACCGGAGCTCGGTATGCATCGCAGTGCTGGATTAGTCTGGCTGCCAGCGGTGTTTAATGACCTATCGGATAGGAAGGGTGCTCCACCTAGGTGGAATCACGGGGGTGCCCAATATAGGGAACTGCAAGTACCCGGGAAATATTTTTGAGTGGTGAGACACTGTTATCGTGTCATTTGGACGATGGAGGCACTACTTGTGCTAAACGGGTATCCTAGCTAGGAGGAGTGGCTTAGTTAGAAGGCTGAGATTCATGACTCATCACTCACAGGATGTACTGGTATAGACCATTCAGGTGTTGGACGGTGGGCCAGCCATGCCTTAGAGGGGACAAATTGTTTATATGGACGGTAATATTCCAAGCGGGGTCACCTTGGGGAATACTTGGCGATAATTACGGGAGATAAATGCAGGACGAAATTCTGTTGGAAGCTTAAGGGGTTTAACGGAAGACTGGTGATGGGTGTACAAGTCGCGATTCTCCGGAATCCGCTACTTCAAATATGCTCTCGGTAGCCACCTAAAGATAGGTTATTTGGGTTCAGGCCGTTTGTTTGATTGTGAAGTTGCGGGACAGGAAACATCATTAATCGAGAATTAGAATACGCCTAGATAGTGCCCATGTGGACGAGAGTGAAGACCCGACATATTGGAGGGGTAACTCATCTCGGCACCTAATGGATGGATAATTAAAGAAAACATGGTGGGCCAGGCGGCAAGCTCTTAATCACATACACTTGGAGTAAAGTGTTTATTTTGTATTCATGTAGCAAACCTTTGAAAGATCTATTGTGAATCGATATGACTGGTGACGAGAAAGAAGCTTGATTTTCTTACCACTTGTACAGCTGTGGGCATTTATGCTAACTGAACTATCAAGTGACAGAAAAGAAATACCAAAAATCCGAGGTCGGTAATATGAGGACCTCGGAGGAAAGAATCTGGCACAACCCTCAGTGAGGAAGAAAAAAGATATGAGAACCTCGGAATATCGTAGTTGGATGTGGCGTAGTTGTGCGGTTGGGAAATAAATGGAGAAGGGATGAAGAAAAACTCAAAAAGTAACTAACATTGAAGATAGTGGTGGGGTAAGTACTAGGAAAAACTAACTAAGCCCCTGTTCGTCACGTACCATTTTAGAAAAACCATCGTATTTCATGAAAATAGCTTATAACCTATTTTGAAAATAACTGTGTTCGGTAGTCCATCTATTTTTAATAGGGGTTTTTGATTTTAGGGCAACGTTATCAGATTCTTGTATGATAATCAGATATCAGGATTAGTTTTAAGAGAAGAGAAGAAAATTTCTCGAATTGCAGCTGCAATTTTGAGTAGAAATCTAGCATTCAATTGGAGAATACAGTTAGATGACATCTTGGAATTTGTAATCTGTTTCGGAGGCAAATTTTTAATGTGAAAGATTGTAAAAGTTTTGCTAGTTGGAATCTCTACTCACATTCGCTGGATAACAATAGCCCATTTGTCATTAAGGGACGAAAAATATTACTTGCCCCAAGTATGGAAAGATAATTACTGCCATGAAAGCAATTAATACAAAAGTTTTATTCCTGATATCTACTATTTTAACTATTTTCTCCTATCCATCCTCTATATTCACATTCTTTCTATTATAATATTTGATAACTTTTATAATATTTTGTTCATTTTTTTTCATGTTTCCCAACACCCTGGTTGCATATTACAAAATATCACATTACAAAAATACCATGGTATTTGTGGCATACCGAACACCCTGCCAATATATTTTAAAAAAACCATGAAAAAAATGCCATAAAAATGAAAATACCATGGTATCCTTGGCATGCCGAACAGGGCCTAAAAGGAAACTAGTCTGTTTGACGGATAAGCACTAAACCCAACATATATAACGAGTGATACTTGAAGATTGATTTTGGCATGGAAGCTTAGGCTCCCTAATTTTCACCATTTCCACTAGCTTTCGTCCAACCGGAGAGTGTACCCTTTAGTGTTCTTTGGCATAGATAATCCCTCTCATTATAACAGCAATGATCGCGCTGGTGCACACTACCGGGTTTGGGAGACCTCTCAGGTTACTTGGGCCGAACCCGGCCCCATCCAAGCAAGATCAATCTCCCGACTTATCCAAAGAGGGATTGTGGTTAATAAGGCAAAGCCCCGATCACCTAGAAGTCCCCTGCCGCATCTTGAAACTATGTTCCTCCGGTTTGGCCACTCGGCTGAGGTTTCACCTAGTGTGTCCAAGATTCATGCACTACTACGATATCTAGTTGATATTTCTGCCATTGTAGGAACTGCCTGTTGGATAGAAGCAGCGAATAAACTGCAGCATGGTAGCCCCGATGTGTATTATGAGCTCTCACTCGTTGATTGCTCATAGGGCATGAAGGTCGCTGAATATTAACTACCGCTCCTCCCTCTCATCGTTTACTCCTAATATCTCCCACGCTCAATATATATTAATGCGCGAAAATACACCTCCTTTTACCTGTTACTCCAAAAATCTCGCTTTCTCTCGCTCAACCACCGCTGATTCCATCCCCAGTCCGTGATAGTATGATAAGGGAGGAGTGGTACGAAATCAATTCTTGAGCAATCCAATCGATCATCTACTCATATCAGCTCTTCCTCTGATTCGTGAAGTGCTCTGTCAAGTCTCCCCTCTATACTACTAGTCTAAAGCGCATTCCCGGACTTGGAGCTTTTATGAATCTGGCCATTGGGATCCTCCGGACCACGGTCACACATCGGGCACGTGAATTGAAGCTAAAGAAGGAGTTTATGGGGGAGTGCTACCAATAGAATTTATACAAGATGAGAAAGAAGTTAAAGCTACCCCACCTGTTCCAGAGTTACGAATTAAGTGTAGATACCCCTTGCCAGGGCGGTATCAAGGGGACAAAATAAGGGGCTGTGATCCATCCAACCTACTTTAACCGCTAAATAGCTCCCTAGGTTTGTTTCGCATGCGGGCACAAGGGTTTACCTGAGCTAGCCCGGGTTATAGTTCGGTGGGCAGATTCCACCCAGGTGGGGGAACTTTGCCCATTTTAACCCCTGGTTCACGAATTGCCGGGCTCGCCTGTCACAATCCATACCCGTTATCAAACTTCACCTGGATGGAGCTGGGTACCGCGATGGGGGATTCTGTGCACTACAGTGTTACACTCTCGACGCTTCGACGCTGGTCACAGCCACTCGTGTATTGCCAAGATATCTATGGGGTGATACATGTAGAAAGAATAAAAACAAACGAAGAGCAGAAAAATAAGAACACTAACAATCAATCCCCCGCGAACGAAGAAGACTCCTTTTCCATCAGAGCAGCCCCCTCTACAAACCAGCAACTATGGCCTCTTCTGCTCCCAGAAGGTAGGAAGGAGATGGGGGAGGAAATATGGGGGGGGAGGGGTAAGCTCTGGGGCCCCGTTCCCATATGCATCAAGACAGGACAGGGCTAACGGAGAAATAAATTGGTAAACGAGCTTAATACGCTCCCCCTATCCCAAACTCGTTTCACCTCTCTAGCCTCAGCTAAAGCAATACCCTCAAGTTACTACTTCTATCGGGGAGTCGTTGGATACGTCGATATTTGTGGGGTGAGTATGGATGTATCCTCCAACCGCGTTTTGAACGTCGGATCGGAGAAGGCTATGGCGATAGCCAAACGAACGAGCGAATGAACGAACAGCGAACCGACAGCGGAACGAGCTGATGACGGGGTGTGAAACTAAACGACACCTGGTGAAACGGTGCAACCAATGCCACGCAACGAACACGAAACGAAACGAAACTAAAGGCCAAGATCTCATATAGAACGATCGCACGACTCACGAGGGGGGGAAAAGTCTTCACTTCGTCTACCTCTCACTATCGCGCATAACTAGCTAACGGTAAGGACAGGAGTATATATGAACGGCAAAACAATGAAGTCCAAACCCTCCAGGTACGTCTCCCACACACTAGGAAACAAGAAAGGCTAACAAAGGAAAGACAAAGTCTCGCTACGAATAGCCTCCGGCCATCCTTATGGCCTTTCGGCTTTCCTTCCAGGCATCCCACCTTCCTTTCGGCGGAAGCATTTCTCCAACTTGAAGACTCCAGCACATTTCCACGGCCGAAGTGCTTTCCCAGAAAAGCCAAACTGTGCGGGGGGAAGCCATGCTGCACGGGAAACTAAAAGCGCACTCGTCAAGAGTGTGCGAACAGACAAACTATTGTGAAAGCATGCCGAGCAGTACCTCATGCTTTCCAACACCGCGCAGCACAAAATCCGAGATGTGCTAAATCTTTGTCTCCCAACCGGGGAATTATAATAATGGAGATTTGGTCAAACTAGGGTCGGTTGGTGTGGGGGATTATAGTGGGGCATTCAGTGTGTGAGGGCGACTTTTGTACCGTGGAACAAGGGGCTGTGTAGGGTGTTGGAATGGGTGCTTGATTAAATGAGATGGAGAGACAGTGGGTTTGGAGAGGTCGGTTACGGCACGAAGGTCGTAGATCCAGGTTTGTATATTTGTGTGAACTCCCGGTGAGGGGATCTCGAATTTGTGAGAAGGTTAGAGAGGTCTGGGAGGAGAGTTGGTAGCAGATGGGTGATTAGGATTCAAGTAATGAGTAGTTTTTCGTTCGGGGTGACCGCGAGAGCACGGTTGTGTGGCAACAGACCGCCGGAGACGTAGCGAGTACAGGTAGTGGTAGTGATGTGAAATACTGGCAAAAAACAGGAGAAGGGGGAGGAAAGAATTTTGGGTAGGATAGGGAAAGTATCCAGAATTGGTGGCGGCTTTCAGAATAGGGTATTCAAGAAGTCGACAAAGCCCTGTCTGGTTGTGCTGCGTGAGTCGTGCGAGCAAAATTATAGGTTTGGATCTGCCCCATGCTCGAGGAGAAGCTGGGCAATCGATTCACAAGGAAATTCTTTAGCTGCTCGGAGTGCATTGCCATACATACCACCCTGAGCATTCACCTCTGCGCGATGGGCGAGGAGAAGCCGCACAACCGATTCGTTTTTCCCGTATGCAGCTGCTTGTAGTGCATTGCCAAACGCACCACCCTGAGCATTCACATCTGCCCCACACTCGAGGAGAAGCCGCACAACTATTTCGTTTTCACGGTATGCAGCGGCTTGGAGTGCATTGCCTAACCCGCCACCCTGAGAATTCACCTCCGCCCCATGGTCGAGGAGAAGCCGCATAACCGATTCGTTCCCGGCGAATGCAGCGGCTGGTAGTGCGTTGCCAAACTCGCCACCCTGCGCCTTCACCTCTGCCCCATGCTCGAGGAGAAGCCGCATAACCGATTCGTTTCCCTCGAATGCGGCGGCTTGTAGTGCGTTCCCAAACTCGCCACCCTGAGCATTCACCTCCGCCCCACGCTCTAGGAGAAGGTGCACAACTGATTCGTTTCCCCCGCGTGCAGCGGCTTGTAGTGCATTGCCATAATTGCCACCCTGAGAATTCACGTTCACCGTACTCTCCTTGCTACTGACTAGGAATTCACTGATTTTGACTAAATCTAACAAGGAAGAATAGTAGAGAGCCTGTGGATAAACGAAGGAACCCGTGGATTTATCTCGCTCAGGATCATCAGGGTCATATACATCTAACCAGCCCTTTCCAAGCTCGAGAACCTTCACCGCTGCGTCGGCGAGTGGTGAGGGTGCCGTATCCTCAATACATTTGGTATACACAAACCAATATCGAGCACAGTGGTAGAGAAATGACGTTTCTTTGACTTCCTCCCTGTCTATAGTGCCTTGGGCACTATGTCGCAGTATTCGACTGAGGCACGCATGCCCCATGAGTAAATTCGCTTCATCCTCGGAAATACGATAGTAGGCATTGGGGCCCTGAGATGCCCGGTCGGATATCAAATATTCCTTTACCGAGAAATGTGCCAGTCGTAATCGGCGGTCTTCCTGCGGGGATGATTCATCGTCCCTGGCATCCTCGAAGGAAATAAGGCTAGGGCAAATGCTCATAATGCAACCAGTATCAAAAAGAGTGCGAGTCTCCGGATTCTCGCCATACTTGTCGACATCGTATTCGATTACGGCGGCCTCCGCAAGCTGGCCTAAAGTCAAGGGCACGGCCGAAAATGCGAGCCAATTCATCGCTCGCTGAATGTATATGCTCTGCATCTCATCGATGCTTTCGAGGATCCTAGTGTAGACAGAATCCAAGTCTTTAGGCAACTTCTTCAACGCGGCTCTTACATCGTCCGGCGCCAAACATGTTTCTAGAACTCGCAAAAGGCAATCCACCCATCGGAACCTTCCCATTCCCACCTTTGTATTAGCCTAATCCACATCTCAATAGGCGAGTATAACATACATTCCTTGTGAACGAGTAACTAGTGTGTGCTCAATCTCATCCTTAATTTCTTCGGTAAACCTCTTGAAGCCACCCTTGCCTACAAGAGATTTGTGGACATAAGTTCGGATATCCGGGTCGACAGTTTTAGATTGTAGCGAGACTGAAAAAGCACTGAGTGGTTCTAGTGATGCCGCTATGTCGGCCTCGGGACGGCTGGTGAGGAGAATAGAAAGCGGTCCGGCCTTATGATCAACCGTAAGTTCACTAATCCAAGACAGGAGACTCTCCCGTGTGCCCTTGGGAAATTCATCCAAGGCATCGAGGATGATAAAGGTCTTCTTAAAACCCTTTACAATCTGGGACAATAGATCCTTCAGAGCCCTGGTATCCGCCAACTTCCCAATTGCCTTGGTGCTGTTATAGAGATCTACAACCGCAGCTGGCAGACCTCGATCCGAAGGCCTTTTTGGAAGTTGGCCTATAAGGGATAGAAGCATATTTTCCAATTTCTGCTTTTCAGAGTCGCTGAAGGTGAAGTAGAAATAAGCCAACCCGTAATCATCGTTCGTATCGCACAGACGTTTGACATCTTCAATTGCCGTAGCACTAAACAGTGCGTTAGCAATCTGGAAATGGTATTGCTCCTCCAGATAGCCACTTAAGTTCTCACCTTAGAACACTCTTGCCACATCCAGCTACGGGATGCAGATTTTAGTGATATTCTATAAGCATAAAATTTCACATGTCTCTACACTTACGTATTCCATAAAGCCAGAGAACCCCTCCTTGGTGACCCTTCCAGTCCTTGTACTCATCTCCCACTAGTAGCCAATTCCCCGTACCAGGTTCACGAACACCAAGCGCAGATGAATAGTTAGATGCTGGATCAACAACATTAAGCCATTTGAGTACTTTCTTGAATTCTTTGTCTGGAATACCGGAAACACCTGATATTAGTAAAGACAATAATTAGAGCTACTAAGGATGCTATGACCAAGTACCGTCTAGTTTTCGCGACATCTTTGTTACGGTCTTCCTAAACAACTAGTTAGCCTTCCCACCGATAAAAGAAGGAAATGGAGATTTTTTGATTCCTGGAGTGCAGAAGAATGGATAACCTACGTGGTGGCTGTAGCCAACAAGAGTTGAAGTCTCAATCTCTGCTCTCCAATCAAGCCCAGGTAACGCTCCATCTTTGGTTTATGAATAGGCCAAAGATACTTTCTCGACGATTTCCTCCATCCCGGAACATCTAACTTTTTCTTCAGCTCCTGCAGGGCTCTCTGGTAATCTTTCAAACTATCGTCTTTTGCCCATTCAAGAAGGCTCGAGTATTGTGGGTTGTTCCCATCATCTCCGGTGGCAAGGTTCTGGATTTCCTCGAGCTGTTGGTGGATGCTTTTAATCTCGTCCCCCAGTTTCTTGAAATCCTCCTGGCTCCCCTTTACTGCACTGTAGTAGTCATAGCAAAGTTCGCAAACCTTCGCGCTGAGGTGAATGAGAGCCAAGCCGCTGACGGCCGTGGAGAAGGCGTCTGCCATTACTCTTCTCTGGAATGTTGTGAGCCTAAAGAGGGGAAGTGCGAAAATACGGCTTTGATAGTTTGCTGGCTTCCGGGAGCGGAACAGAACCAAAAGCCGGAGTTGGCTTTTAAGGTGGATAGGCCGGCAATCTTTAGGTTCTTTTGAGTTATGCTTTTCGTCAGATTCGAAGATGGGTAGGAAACAGCAACTGGCGTACTCGGAGCGGGCTTCTTGGGAAAGAAAAGCTTTTCAGGTTCACCGTGAGCGGGGTCACCCAAATTCCTGCACTTACACACAAGAACAGCAGCCGCACGCCTTGTTGCTGTCGCCAAAACTGGGGGCCAACCATTACTCGTGTATAGATTCGCCCTATCCTAACATCTTTAGTAGCGATCGAATATCTCGCCTTGCACCGGTGTTGCAGCAAGCGAGAGGGATCCTGCTCGGTAGTGCGCGTAAAAACCTGGAAAAAATTAATTCCGACACGTTATGGTACTCGTACAACTCCCTCTAGCAGCAGAATTAACCTATCTAAGCTTATTTCTATAGAAAAACACGAGGATCGCAGCATGTTTTAGCGACCCGGAATGCTATCCAAACCAGAGCCGGAACTGCCATCCTTGTGCCCGGTACAAGTAGTGAGTATCTGGAAGACGGCTTGTGTTACAGTGTACAAAACCGCTCTTCCAGAAAAACAGCGGTGTCTCAATTTCCGATACGAGAGCAGCACTTCATGCCAGGTGCGAGTGGAGTTGGCTAGTGCTTCCAGTCGTCCAGTCCATCCAAGACGCGGTGGGGGTGGAGAGCCGTCGGACTATGAAGAAAACAGGTAGAGAAATAGGAGAAATTTGGGTATGAAGATTTTGGTTGTAGATAAATCAATCGGTTTGAGATAGGCAATTCACTTAGACAGAATAAAAGAGGGTTCAAATGTTCGCATGGCATTTCTAACTAGCTCACCGGCTCCTTTTTATAAGACTTGCCTCTTCCTATGCCGTGCCTATGTGGGTGAAAAGTTTTCACCTCTATCAAGGGTGAAGAAAATTTTCTCTCAATGAAACAAATGAAACGAGAAGGAAACCTAAAGGAAACAAGAAAGAAACTTTGAGCTGCAGGGGGATAAGGGATAAAACAGTAGAAAGATGAAATATATCTGGATCGAGGTATGCGGGGAACACTATTCCAACACTCCCACTTCCCCAAAGTACTGATTGCAATAAAATCAAGAAATATAATAAACAGTTAGTTAACCACGACCTCATTAAAAACCTTGTAAGTAAAAAACCCTGTGGGAAAAAATACTTTACTAGGGAAAAAGAGTGTCGGGTATACATTCAAAAAACAGAAATTAAAGAAAATACGAGAAATTTCTAACTCTTCTTTTTCACACCAGGTTCACCATTCCCATTCCCATCATGTGCTTCCAGTGCTTCTCCCTCACAAGCGGTTTGGTAAGAATGTCTGCCGTCATATCCGCGGTTGGTATATAGGCTACTGAGACCTCATTTGCTTCACGCGCCGTTCGAATATAGTGGTAACGAATATCAATATGCTTCGTTGTAGCATGAGACTGGGGATTGTCTGAGAGCTTGATTGCTCCCTGGTTGTCGGCATAGATGATTTGAGGTTTAGTAGATATCCATTGAGTTTCGGATTCATCTTGAGTGGTTTTGGCTTTCCTCTGCAGATTCTCCCACTGCTCATTAAGTCCATCAAAGTGATTGATGGTATGGTTGAGGATGGTTTGCATAATGGTCCGCGATTCTAGTTCTATTAGCAAGCGTCTCAACCATACTGCTTCCTTAGCAGCTTCAGTCAATGCCACATATTCTGCCTCAGTACTAGATGTAGCCACAACGTTTTGTTTTGCGCGTTTTCCATGATATTGCTCCACCGCAAAGGTTGAACACATATCCACTGGTTGACTTCCGATCATCTTGGTCACCTGCCCAGTCGGAGTCAGTGAAGCCGGTTGGTTTTGAAAAGACCCCATGGTTATCGCTTAGACGTTGATATCGGATTCCTATGTTGCGAGTTTGTTGCAGATAACGAAAGATCCGCTGTAGAGCGATATGGTGCGAGTAGGTTGGTCGGTCGTTATATTTACTCAAAGTCGATATTGTATAGGCAAGGTCCGGCCTGGTTCCAAGCATGGCATACATGATGCTGCCAATTTTCGATTGGTATTCAGGCCGCTCATGAATGTCTTCATCCTTATGACAGGGCGGTAGGTGGATATTCGATTCCATAGGTGTTGACATGCCTTTGCACTCGGACATCTGGAAGCAGGAGAGGATTATTTCGATATAGGATGACTGATGGAGGTCGATACTGTATGAGGAACGATTTCGAATGATCTGTAGACCAAGAAACTGTGTTATAGCACCAAGGTCCGTCATATGGTAAGATGTAGCGAGCTTTTCTTGCATCTTTTCTATGGTTCGGATGTCTTTAGCAAATAACAGAAGGTCATCGACATAGAGAATGATTATGAGATCATGCGAGAGATATAGACTGTGATCTTCACTGGACCGTGACATTCCCGCATCCTGGAAGAACCTATTGATATCTTCATACCATGTTCGCGGTGCTTGCTTCAAACCATAAAGAGCTTTCCGGAGGCGTAGAACGGGATATATGCCATGGGCCAATGGCATGCCTGAATAGTCCTCATATCCCTCTGGGATCGCCATAAAGACCACCTCTTGCAGTTCCGGATGAAGAAATGCCGTTTTAACATCCATTTGCTCAATCTCCCAATCATGGTAGGCAGCAAGTGCCAGAAGGACCCGAACCGTAACAAACTTGGCAACAGGTGCACAGGTTTCATGGAAGTCAATGCCAGGAACTTGCTCAAATCCACGAATTACACGATGAGCCTTGTATCGTATAGAGCCATCTGTATTTGTCTTTAGCTTAAAGATCCACTTGCAAGTAATATCATGCTTTCCTGGAGGGAGCTCTGCAAGCTCCCAAGTACTATTGTCAACGTGTGACTTAAACTCTTCTCTGATAGCTATCTCCCACTTCTTATAATCCGTACTATTCACGGCCTCTTGATAGTCATGGGGTACAGCATGCTCACTGGCCTGCGCGGCAAAAGTGACACTATCCCGTAACCAGAAGGAGGGTTTCCGCTCTCTTGTAGACTTACGTAGAGTCGGTGATTGGTGCTCATCTGGAGCCACTCTGTGGGAAGTAGTGGACTCCCCCTGCTCCGGTGCCATACCATACTGGGTAATGGGCCTTACCAAGCTCTTTCCCATGGGCGTAGGTAAGTCATTGGCATGAGTACCAAGTATCGGCTCATTGGTATCAACAACCCGATCCTCTAACGTTTCGGCAAAGACTCCGCCAGATGTGTCATTAACCTCGCGGATAGGCTTGTAACTAGAATGCGGTGGTGCCTCTAGTGTATTCTGTGCAATCGGCATACTACTTGGTAAAGTAGATGAATCACCAATTGCAGCGTAGTCAACCTCGTCAATCAATAGTGTACTCAAAGGGTATAAGGAGTGTGTACGGGTACACTTGCCAAAGCTATTCTCATCAAATACCACATCAGCAACCTGAATGACTCGGCTGCTTATGATATCCCATACTCGCCAGAGCCTGGTTGTGTTATGGACATAACCTAAATGTATGCAACGTCGGGACTTAGCATCTAACTTCTTTCGACACTGCTCTGGCACATGGACATAAGCGTCACAACCAAAGCGTCTTAGATGCTCGAGTTGTGGTTTCGTTCCATGCCAGGCCTCGTAAGGTGTCTTGCGATTTAATGCGCAGGTTGGACTTCGATTATGAAGGTAGACAGAGGTGTTTACGGCTTCTGCCCAAAAGGAGTCTTCAAGTTGTGATTCAAGAAGGATTGTTCGTGCTTGCTCCATGATTGTTCGAATCATTCTTTAGCTGACTCCATTCTGGTGCTGTGTATATGGAGCGGACGGTTCATAGGTTATTCCCTCCAATGCTAAATATTGCTGAAACAACTGATTATCATATTCACCGCGACCATTATCACAGCGAAAACGGAGGATTGACTTCCCCGAGTGCTTCTCTACTAGCACTTTAAACTGTTTGAATATTTCCAATACCACCAAAGCTGACTTTAGTTTTAGGAAGTAACACCAGACCATTCTCGTACAATCATCAATGTATAGAATAAAATGTCTTGCTCCGGCAATAGATGAAACTAGAAGGGGTCCGCAGGAGTCCGAGTGAATGAGGCCAAGTTTTGTAACGACTTGAGAAGTAGGATTTCTCCGATTAAATGAACGCTGCTGTTTCCCCTCAAGGCAGGCAGGACAGAGGGAAAGAGACGGTTGGGTACGATTGATTGTAAATCCAGATGCAAGGTCCTCAAGTCGCCGTACATCGTTAAGGTTTAAGTGACCTAACCGTTCA